TAGTCCCAGCTCAGAAGGCTGAGGTGGAAGGATCACTTGGGCCAGGGAGGCCGAGACTGCAGTGAGCTGTGATTGTGCCACTGCACTCCAGCTTTGGAGACACAACAAGACTCTGTCTTAAAAAAACAAACAAAAAAAGCAAAAGCCATAAAGCTTTTAAGAAGATTCATGATTACATGCAAGAAAATCTTCATGAGTTGGAGTAGTGAATGACTCCTTTAATACAAAATATAGAACACTAGACAGAGGAAAGGTCTAAATAGGACATTAAAATTACAAATGTCCATGAAGAATGAAACAATAAGCTACAGAATGGGAGAGTATATATATTCAACATATGTAAATTAACAAAGGACTAGTATGCTGAACATATGAAGAACTGAAATTATTAAGAAAAAGTAAAGGCAATTAGAACAATAAGCAAAAGACTAGAACAGGCATGTCATAAAATGCTCAACCTCATTTAAACTTAGGAATAAGCAAATTAACACCACACATATATCATTACACAGCAACAACTTGTTAAAACAGACTAGACCAGACTGGGCAACATGGTGAGACCTTTCTCTACAAAAAATACAAAAATTAGCCAGGTGTGGTGGCACGTGCCTGTAGTCCCAGGTACTTGGGAGGCTGAGGCAGGAGGACTGCTTGAGCCTGGGAGGCTAAGGCTGCAGTGAGTCATGTTTGTACCACTGCTCTCCAGCCTGGACAACAAAGTGAGGCCCTGTCCCAAAGGAAAAAAAAAAACAAACACACAATAAAAACAAAACCAATAACTTATACTGACCACACCAACTATAGGTGAACATTTGGAATACTAGAAACACATTCTGTTGCTATGAACATTCTTATACTTCAGATCATTCCAAACTGTTTTTCCAGTAACTGTACACTTTTCTCCTATGGAAACACTAATTGGTACAATCACTTTAGAAAATAGTTTGCCATTATTCTATCCTAATACCCAGCTATTCCTCTTCTGGATATATACCTTAGACTCTAGGACCTAGCGAAACAAAATGAACATGTACAAGAATGTTCTTATAGAATTTTATAATAGCATCAAACTGTACACAATCCAAATATCAATCAGCGGCAGAATAGTGGGATGTTCATAAATACCATCCCATATAAAAATTAAAATTAATGAATTCAATATGCTCAAAAGCATGGCTATAAAGAAAAATCAACACATGAAAAATACAGCAAAAATCATATAAAGTTCATTAATAAAAACTATATCTGTTTAAAATACATAAACTAAATGATATTATTTGCATAAATAGCTGAGAAAACTTTAAAAAATACCAAGGAAAGGATTATCACCAAAGTCTATTTTGTGATTATTTCTGGGAGAAGGAAGTGAGTTGTGGCTGGGAGACTGCATACATAAGTATTTAAGGGTCTATAAATGATCTTTCTACAATTGAGTTGTGGTTAAGTGAATGTTAACTTTACAACTGCACATTAAACTGTTCATATTTTATGTACTTTTATATAATTATGCTTAACAACCACACACACTGTACACACTACACACACACACACACACAAACAAGCATAGGTTGATTTTTCTATCAAAATTTGAACTGTTATCTTCAGGTAGTAAATTCTACCCATTTTTATTTTTAATAATAGGAGTAAATACCTTCCGACAACAATATAATGAACATTACAGGAAAATTAAGGCAACTTATATTTACAGAATGCCTTTCTGTGTAAAACAGGACACTATACTCTTCCTACACATTAAAGCATTAAAGATTAACTCTAAAAGGTACTTGTTATCAGTCTCTTTACTGAGGCAATTGCCAGTGTTCAGATAAATGTCAGAGCTAATCCAAATCCGAAACTTGAAATTTTCCCACCATTCTATACAAATTCCCAATGCAAACAGTTTACTATCCATCTATTCATCTTCCCCTTACAATATGCTGTGGCATCTTCCTCATGGGATGGTCAATTAATTTATTCATTTATTCAACATTCAGTCATTCAGTCAACAAATACTTCTTTAGTACCTATTATATTCCAGGTTCTGTTTTTGTATAAGTTATACAAGGATGAAAAGGAATGGCAAAATCTAAGCTTACATTTTGGTTGGGGAGGCAGGCAATTAATAATTTCAGACAGTGATCAATTCTATAAAGGAAATAGAATAAAGTGACAATGACTCAGTGGTAGAAACACTGGGCTGAGATGTGAATACTCAGTCAGCCGTGCAAACTACTGAAATGGGTTCCACACACAGGGACCACTAAGCATCAAGGCCCTGGAGGGAAATGTGCCTTAGCAGACAGAAGGCAGGCAACTCTGCCTAGAATCCTATGTGCAAAAAGGACAGAGGGTGAATTATGGAGGGCCAGGTTAAGTCATAGCAGAAAGTTTAGATTCTAGCCTAGATGCAATAAGACGCTATTTTAAGTTTTTAAGAAAAAGAGGGCCACAGGAAAATTTATATTAAAAAAAATTTTTAGGGGTTATAAAAAGAAAAGATTCCTTCAGAAGAAGGGAGTTGGCAATGGCAAAAGTGAAAGGGTAAAGACTAGTTTTTATCACAGAAATCCAGGGAGGAGATTAAGGAGATTAAACAGGAGTGGCCAACAATGAAAACAGACATAGACAGCTTCCAGATATATGCTGAGGATAGATCAGATCAACTGAGTGCTGATTTCTTTGTTGAACAGCTATTTATTCTATACTGTAATATTATCAGGCACATTTCTAGGTGCTGGGTATACGGAACTGAATAGGAAGGAAAGGGTCCCTGATCTCAAGGAGTTTATATATTAGGAGCTTATATATTACATATTCCAATGGGAGAAGCAGAAATTTAATAAACAAAAATATCCTATGTCAGGTAAGAAGTATTATGATGAAAAACTAAAGGAAAAGGAGAGACAGAGGCGGTTATTATCTTAGATAAGTCAGGGAAAGACTTTGCAGAGGAAGTGACATTTAAGCAGATACCTAAAGTGAAGCACAAGCCACACAAATATTTGGAAGTAAAGTACTATAGGTACAGGGAACTGCAAGTGAAAAGACCCTAAGGAGGGAATGTGCTTATCTTCTTGTGAGAAGAGCAAAGCCAATGTGGCTAGAGCAGAATGAACAAGGAGTGGAGTGGCACATGAAGCCAAAATAGTGGCCAGGAGACAGATCACATAAAGCTGTATAGCTTATACACCGCAACAGATCACATAAAGCCATATAGCTTATACACTGAGACAGATCACACAAAGCCGTATAGCTTATACACCGAGTTTTGAATTTTATTTTAAGTGTGATAAAAAGCCATGTGAATTGAGAACAGGACAAGGGATATCTGATTGACATTTTAAAAGGATCATTCTGCTTTTCTGGAATATAAACTGCTGAGGGATAAGTAATATAAACAGAGAGATGACAGTGCCTTCAACTGGAGTGGTACTAGCAGAGGTGTGAAGTGGGACATATTTTGAATGTATTTGTTAAATTGAATAGATTCTGCTGGACTGAATGTAGAAAATGGGGGGAAAAATGAAGGATGACCTAGGGTTTTGGTTTAAGGAACTGAGGAGCTGAAGTAACATTTCTGAGAAGGAGAAAACTAGGAGAGGAACAGGTTGGAGAACAGGAATCAAAAACTGTTTTTGGTCACGAGATGCCTACTAGACATTCAAGTGGAAATGTAAAGTAAGTAAAAGGCTAGAGCTCACAGAAGAGGTTCAAGTCAGTGACTTGAACTGTTTTTGAAAGATACTGACTCAGATGATTCTCAAGAACAAAATTTCTCCCATATTTGAGAATTTATACTGACTCAATTCTTAGGCATACCCTAAATAGTTCAAATAAATAAAACAGGTTCAAATTTATTCTTCTTAAGGGTATACTCCAGTAACACAATTTGCCAGTATAGATTAATATGTGATAAACTCTAATCATAACATTCTACATGTTCTTGGCTTCAGATTAAAATAACTGATTAAGTTTATAATGTTTTACAATTTTAAAAATGTTTATTCATCCAAGCTGGAGTGCAGTGGTGCAATCATAGCTCACTACAGCCTCAAATTTCTAGGCTCATGTGATCCTCCTTTCTCAGCCTCCTAAGTAGCTGGGACTACAGGCAGGGTCCAAGGCTTCAACCTAATTATACCCCAAAGTTAATACAGATTTTATTAGAAAAACAAAGGTTTTGTAAGTCTAATAGGTAAAGGAACAAAGAATCAGATCTATTTTTCTTACAGCTTCCTTACTCTTCCCTTCCCTCTTTTATTCTTTATCACCTAAAAGCTTGGTCACTAGTAAGTTCAAAAGGTTAGCTAAAATATGGCTATGAAAGTAGAAAATACAGAAAAATATTTAAGATGTTCAACAGTAATTTTTAGAGTAAGGTTAGTTAAACACTAGAGTTTATGCTCAACTTCTCCTTGAAAGGCCGAGTATTTATTTTACTAACTACACTGGAAATAATACCTACTTGCAATTTTAATTAATCATTATAATTCAAAAACAGGTTTATATAACTGGCCAGGCCCTTTTGAAAATATAAGTACAAATCTTGGGGATATGTTTTGAAGCTGGCTTCGCTTCACAGACTGATAAATCTGTCCAAAAGTCACAAGAATTATGTCTTTATTGGTTCATCTTATAATTAAATCAACATGGAAGAAATATGTACTTTTTGGATTAAACAAAATGTTTTGATAAAAATGGGATATGTGTGTACAAAAGCTGGAAAACTCATGTCCCCTGAAACTTGGTTTCCACAAGATGAGTTTCAAATTCAGATACTAAACACACATGAATAATCAAATGAATTCTACTCATCCTTTCCCCAAACTTGCGCTTACAATTAAGATATAGGTATTATTTGTATGCAGAACAAACAAAATAAATTGGAAGATGTTTGGCTAAAGAGGGAAGTGAACACTCAGGAACTACTGTTTGCAGTTTGCAGAATAGGATAATCTTCTCTAGGAAGAATAATGTCAACATAGCAGCACTATATTCACCAGGATTCCCCAGAGCCAATGGTCCCATCATGTGGCAGGAAGCCAAACCTTCTGGCTGCTCACAATATCAATCAGCTTTCCTTTAATCTTCAGGAAGTGTCTCTTGAACTCCAATCCATCACCCTATATTAGAAATAATATTAAAAAATAATGTCAAAACAAAAACAAAAACAAGATTATGCCCTAAAATCAATCTCTTTTTAGTGGTAACAAGAGACAAACATCCTTAGATATGTCTAGCTACAATTTTCTTTTAGGCCTGTTTAGGAAGAACAAATATCCTGGCAGAGAAAATTGTTACACAAATAATTCTGATGTGGTTTCATGCCCATCACTGTTCCTACTGCACTGAGCTCAGACAGCAGATAAAGGTGGCATCCTATCTGTTTCAGGTGTTGGTATATCTGGACCTAAGTCATTACAATCCATAGGCAGTGAGGGTTTGGAAACTAACAATAAGCTATACAACTAAACTGAAGTCTTGTTGTCATAACACTATTAAACAAAACCAGCAGCTTTAGTTATGAGAAGAATTTCATTATACTATGACGTTAATTTAATTCCATAGCAAGCATCTGAAAAACAGTATTGCAGCAAATCTCTAGTACAAAGAGTACTGCAGCTACTCCTCCAACACAGCAGCTACTCCTCCAACCCTCTTTAGAGTCACACACAATCTCTCAGAAAATAGAGAAAAATGTTATTTTGGTTTTATATATCAAGGGCTGTAAAACTATAATCTTAGAATCAATAATTTCTAAAGAAATCATCAGAAATAGGAACAAAAATCTATGCATAAAATATCAATCACAGAATTATTGTAACAGGTAAAGGTTCATTAAATTATAATGAAATATTTGCAACAAATCATAATCTTTATTAAAAGACAAATTAAGAAAAATATTAAAATGCTTCAAAATATTAATGGTGATCACTGAAAATTTATAATTATTTTTATTTTCTCATTTTTTGCTTGTCTACATTTTTCACAAAAGCAGAAACTTTTTTTGAAACAGAGTCTCACATTGTCACCCAGGCTGGAGTGCAATGGCACTATTTCAGCTCACTGCAACCTCTGCCTCCTGGGTTCAAGTGATTCTCCTGCCTCAGCCTCCTGAGTAGCTGGGATTACAGGAGCCCGCCACCATGCCCAGCTAATTTTTTGGTTTTTATTGTAAAGATGGGGTTTCACTATGTTGGGCAGGCTGGTCTCAAACTCCTGACCTTGAGATCTGCCCGCCTTGGACTCCCAAAGTGCTGGGATTACAGGCGTGAGCCACCACGTCCAACAAAAACTTTTATAACAAGGAAAACGTCATTTGAAAAAAACAATGTTTGGGAAAAACACATAACAAAAACACATGCTATAATACTAAATGAAAAAAGCAAGTAACCTTCTATTTACAAATGTCACATATATACAAACATCATGCCATTAAAAAAATTCACATAGAAATATTTCCACAGAAAAAATACAATAAAACATAAAAATACCTTAGAAAGCCGGAAGTCAACCAATATTTTATCATCCATTTCTAACAAATTCACTTTGAAAATGAGTTTATTATTTCTCCTATCAGTTGTTGATACAGTAACCTAAGGCAACAAAAATAAGGTTAAGCCACATGGGTGAGTAGATAATAAACTAGTAAACCCACCATGAAGAACAGAATGGAAGTTCCTCAAAAAAACTACAAATAAAACTACCTATATGTTCCAGCAATCCCACTAATGAGATGTCATCCAAAGGAAAGGAAATTATATGGAAGAGACATTTGCATCCCTACAGCATTATTCACAATAGCCAAGATATGGAATCAACCTAGATATCCAACAAGAGATGAGAGTAGGCCAGGCACTGTGGTTCATACCTATAATCCAGCACTTTGGGAGGTCAAAGCAGGAGGATTGCTTGAGCCCAGGAGTTCAAGACCAAGCTGGGCAACATATCAATACCTCATCTCTACTAAAATTCCCAAAAAATTAGCAGGCATGGTGGTGCATGCCTGTAGGACCAGCTACTCAGCGGGGCTGAGGCAGAAGGGTCACTTGAGCCTAGGAGGCTGAAGCTGCAGTGAGCTATGATTGTGCCAGTGTGCTCCAGCATGGTTGACAGAGTAAGACCCTGTCTCAAAAAAACAAAACAAAAAGCCAAGCAAACAAATGAGGATAATATGATAAATATATACACAATGAAATACTACTCAGCCATATAAAGGAATGAAATCCTGTCATTTGCAGCAACATGGGTAGAAATGGAGGACATTATGTTAAGTGAAATAAGCCAGGAACAGAAAATTAAACATCGCATGTTCTCACTCATATGTAGAAACCAAAAAACAGTTAATTTCATAGAAGTAGAAAGCAGAACAGAGGATACTAGAGTCTAGGAAGGGGAGAGGGGAGGGAAAGATAGAGATTCATGAAATAATACAAAATTACAGCTAGATAGGAGTAAGTTCTAGACCACTGTAGGATAACTATCCTTAACAATAATAGAGTTTCAAACAGCTAGAAGGATACTGAATATTCCCATCACAAAGAAATGACCAATGTTTGAGATTACTAATACGCTAGTTATCCTGATCTGATCACTATACATTATATGAATCAAAGCATCACTATATACCTCATGAATATGTACAATTGTATCAATTAAAAAAAACTTGCTGGCTACCTCCATAACAGGAGTAATATTAAGTATGCTGATAATCTCACTCATTCCAGAGCCTCTCTTCTCCCAGTGGGTATGTATGTCCCCAACCCAATCCATCAACAGGGGTGCAGCTCCTAGGGACTGAGTGTATATGAACTCATAGCAACAAAACTTACTGTACTGTACCAATATACCACTGAAAGAAGAAACAATCAAAGATGAAAATAAAATGGGAGGAAAAACAAGATTATTAAAACGTTAGAAAGAAAAAGGCCTGACTTGTGGCTGAAAAGCTAGAGCAGCAATTAGAAGACGGCAAAGGTCTTGAGAGGCCTTGCAACTTCCACTTTCAGTCTTTTAGAACGTTCCTGTGGCATGTAAAGACGCTCAGCCTAGCTGAATGATGCGGAAAGAAAGGCTCAGCTAACAGCCAGTACCAAGACTCCAAACATGGGAGTAAGGATGTTTTAGACCACCAGCCACAGTAAAGACATCAAATGACTATAGCTGGATGAATAAGCCCGATCAAGATCAGCAGATCTGCCTGAAAAACACAGCCCAAATTAAAAAAGTATTTGTAATAATTCTTACTTCAAGAAACTATGAAAACACACAACTATACCATGACTGTGCAGCACTGAAATAACATACTATGTTCTGGGAAAATTAACACAAGATATTCAACTCAACACATCTGAATTAAGCTCTTAAACTTCAAAGACAAAAAAAAAAAAAACTTCAAAGAACTGAGAGTGAGTGAATCAAGGAGTGATGTCAATGAAAATGGCAGAGAAAAGAACTCCAGAAGTCCATTACTCCACAAAAGCAATTTTAAAAACCTGCCAAAACCTGTCAGAATCAACTTTTTCAGAACATTGTAAACTAACTAAAAGCTTGCAGCAACTTATTCAAAACAAGTGAAACTCAGTAAGAACAGTGAGCTTTCTGGTATTGTAACTTACCCTGTTCCCATCGCCTGCTCCTCACTCAGTAGCAGCCTTGAAAGTAACGGTTCATATTTCAGGTATAGGTCCAGGTAGGAGCAGAATAAACCTCATTTACAAACTATCTTAAACCGATCTGACCCTCTAAAATGACCTGATCAAAAGGCTTATCCTGGCCAGGTGCAGTGGCTCATGCCTGTAATCCCAACACGTGGGGAGGCCGAGGCAGGTGGATCACCTGAGGTCAGGAGTTCAAGAACAGCCTGACCAACATGGTGAAACCCTGTCTCTACTAAAAATACAAAAATTAGCAGGGTGTGGTAGCAGGTGCCTTTAATCCCAGCTACTTGGGAGGCTGAGGCAGGAGAATCGCTTAAACCTGGGAGGCAGAGGTTGCAGTGAGCTGAGATCACACCATTGCACTCCAGACTGGGAAACAGAGCGAGACTCCATCTCAAGAAAAAAAGGCTTGTCTTTATTTCACCTTTGTAACTGTAACTCACCTTGCGCTAAGGCTGCTCCTGGGTAGCATTTGTGGAAAACACTTACAGGAAAATGCTTTAGTCTCTGTTGCCTGAAGCAATGATAGCAACTGGGGCAAACAGACTACCCAAGACGTTTGGAAGAAGAGGTTAGGGAGTGAGATGTTTCTGAGCAATAGGACTCTGAAAAGGTCCAACATATTCCTGGGAATGTAAAAAGACACACCCATGACCAGGGCAGTACACGTGCTTAGGGAAGAGCTGAGAAGGTCCCAAAGCTCTACATGTGCCCTAACTTTGCATTTTGCACAGGCAGATAGTGAAGGCTGAAGCAACGTTGTAAACTTCTCGGTTGAGTATTGCAGGTGTGTCCCCAGCACAAATACAGAACCCCTCTGCAGATTTTTTTGTTTTTGGTACACAGAATTTAAGGAAATCTCTGTCCAATCATTAGCTGACCACTACAACTAATGGGACAGAAACTGCACAGTCATGCATGACAAACAATACCAACTTTAAAAAATTACATCAGAAAAATCACTAGGGCCAGATGCGGTGGCTCCCACCTGTAATCCCAGCACTTTGGAGGCTGAGGCGGGTGGCACCTGAGGTTGGGAGTTCGAGACCAGCCTGGCCAACATGATGAAACCCCACCTCTAATAAAAATACTAACAATTAGCCGGGCATGGTGGTAGGCGCCTGTAATCCCAGCTACTTGGAAGGCTGAGGCAGGAGACTCGCTTGAACCCATGAGGTGGAGGTTGCAGTGAGCCAAGATCACACCATTGCACTCCAGCCTGGGCAACAAGAGTGAAGCTCCATCTCAAAAAAAAAGAAAAAGAAAAAAATCACTAAAAAAAACAACTACATCAAGCAATAACAAACACTGGCAAGAGGGGAAACTCTGACTTCTAGAGTTGCCACATATTGCCACAATATGTCCAGTTTTCAATAAAAAATTACAAAGCATGTAAGGAAACAAAGTATGGCCCATATAAAGGAAAAAGAGCAACCAAAACTGTCCCTGAGGAACATAAAGAAAGAATAAAGAAAAGTGAACAGAGTCTAAGAACTGTGGTACGACAAGTATCCCAACAATACACATAATGAGTCCAAGAGGGAGAGGAGAGTTAGGTACAAAAAAAAAATCTGAAGAAATAATGGCCAAAAACTTCCCAAGTGTGATTAAAAACATTAATTTACATATCCGAGAAGTTCAATGAACTCCAAATAGAATGAACAAAGAAATTCACACCAAGATACATCATAGTCAAACTGTGGTCAACAGAGAAACACAAAAGCAGCAAGAGAGCAGCAATGTCTCACATAAAAGGGATCCTCAGTAAGATTAACAGCTGATTTCTCATCAGAAACCACAAAGGCTAGAAGGCAGTAGTGGCATAATCAAAATGCTGAAAGACAAAAGTTATTAAGAATTCTATATCCAGCAAAACTACCTGTCCAAAAAGTGGAAGATAAATTAAGGCACTTTAAACTGATAGGAATAGATACTACATTTGATCTTAGCCAAAAGGTTGAGAAACGATTTTTTTTTTGAGACAGTCTTGCTCTGTCACCCAGGCTGGATAGCAGTTGTGCAATCAGATCACGTTCACTGCAGCCTCAATCTCCCACGGCTCAGGCTATCCTTCCACCTAAAGCCTCCCCAGTAGCAGGGCTTACAGGCGCACACCACAACGCCCTACTAATTTTTTAAAATATTTTCAGTAGGCATGGGGTTTCACCATGTTGGTCAGGCTGGTCTCAAACTCCCGGCCTCAAGTGATCTGCCCGCCTCAGCCTCCTAAAGTGCTGTAATTATAGGTGTGAGCCATGACACCTGGCTAAGGTACTTTAGATTGAAAGACACAAATAGGCTAAAAGGAAAAGGAAAAAAAAAATAGAGCATGGAAACAATAACCAAAAGAGAGCTGGTAGCTCGGTATGGTGGTATATGTCTGCAGTCCCACCTACTTGCGAGCCCAAGGCAGGAGGGTCACTTGAGCCCAGGAGTTTGAGGCTGCATTGCACTATGATCGTACTGCAAGTAGCCACTACACTCCAGCCTAGGCAACATAGTGAGACTCCATCTAAAAAAAGGAAAATACACAAGATAGCTAGTGAGCTGATATGGATATACTAACATTAGACAAAATAAACAGACTGATGAAAACTGTCAATTTAGCTGGGCATGGTGGTGCACACCTATAGTATCCACTACTCAGGAGGATCACTTGAGCCCAGAAGGTCAAATCCAGCCTGGTCAACACAGAGAGACTGCATCTCTACAAAAACATTTTTAAAAAGTTAGCTGGTTATGGTAGTGCACACCTGTAGTCCCAGTTACTTAAGAGGCTGAGGTGAGAGGATCACTTGGGCACAAGAGGTCAAGGTATTAATATATTATATTAATAAAGGGGAAAAATCCACATGATTATCTCAATAGATGGAGAAAACATTTGACAAAATCCAATACTCTTTATCATAAAAACAAAAACCCCACAGCTAACATCATACTTAATGCTGAAAGACTCAAAACTTACTCCTAAGATCAAGAACAAGACAAAGATGTCCACTCTATTTCTGTTCAATATAATGTTGGGAGTCCTAGCCAAGGCAACTAAACAAAAAGAACTAAAATGCATCTGGGTTTTAAAAAAAAAAAGTAAAACAATTTCCTGTATCTCTATTGATAAACAATGTAATCTTTTTTTTTTTTTGAGATGGAGTCTCACATTATCGTCCGGGCTGGAGTGCAGTGGTACGATCTCGGCTCACTACAACCTCTGCCTCCCAGGTTCAAGCAATTCTCCTACCTCAGCCTCCCGAGTAGCTGGGATTACCAGCACCTGCCACCACGCCTAGCTAATTTTTTGTATTTTTAGTAGAGATGGGCTTTCACTGTGTTGGCCAAGCTGGTCTCAAATGCTTGACCTCGTGATCCACCTGCATTGGCCTCTCAAAGTGCTGGGAATGCAGGCGTGAGCCATCACGCCCTGCCAAATAATGTAATCTTAATATATAAAAAAAACCTAAAGAATTGGTCAAAAAAACTACTGGAGTTAATGAATTCAGCAAATTTTCAGGATACAAGATCAATATACAAAATTCATTTGCATATATACTATCAATGAACAATTTGAAAATAAAATTTAAAAATTCCATTTACATCAGCATCAGGATTTTAAAAATAAATAAATAAATAAACAGGATTACATTTAACCTAGGAAGTGCGAGACTTGAACATTGAAAACTACTAAATATTCTTGAAAGAAATTAAAGACCATAAAAAATGGGAAAAAAGGCCCCATGTTATTGGATTGGAAGAGTTACTATTACAGGTTTAGCATCCTTAATCTAAAATCTGAAATTCAAAATGTTCCAAACTCCAAAACTTTTTGGGTGCTGGCATGATGCCACAAATTGAAAATTTCATACCTGATAAGTTTGCTTTCTGATAGTTCAATGTACAAACTTTGTTTCATGCACAAAATTATTTAAAACATTGTATAAAATTACCTTCAGGTTATCTGTATAAGGTATATATGAACCACAAATAAAATTATTCATGTTTCAACTTAAGTCTCATCTGTAAGTTATCTCAATATGTATATGCAAATATTCCAAAATCCAAACAAATGTAAATCCACAAAACTTTTGGTCCCGAGCACCTCGAATAAGGAATACTCAATCTGTACTAAAATGGAAATACTCCCCGGGTTAATCTACAGATTCAATGTAATCTCTTTTAAAATTCCAAATTTTTTTCTTGCAGAAATAAGATAATCCTAAAAGACAGAAAAACAAGGGGCCACAAATAACCAAAATACCTTGAAAAAAAGAACAAACTTGGACAACTCATACTTTCTAATGTCAAAACTCACTACAAAGCTACAGTAATCAAAATAGTGTGGTAGTGGCATAGCATAAACATATAGATCCATGAAATAAAGAATTGAGTCCATGGGGGAAGAAAAAGAAAAGAAAAAAAAAAAAGAATTGAGAGTCCAGAAATAAACCCATACATCTATGACTGATTTGTTTTCAGCAAAGGTGCCAAGATCATCTCATAGGAAAAGATGTCTTCAACAAATGGTGCCGGGAAAACTGAATATTCACATACAAACATTTGCATTTGGACCCTACCTCATACTATATACAAATATTAACTCAAAATGGACAAAGACCTAAATGTAAAAGCTAAACTTTAAGGCTGTAGTCCCAGCTACTCAGGAGGCTGGGACTCCTAAAAGAAAGCATAAAGTATAAATCTTTACAATTTTATATTAGGCAACAGTTTCTTAAATTTGGCACTAAAAGCATAGGCAACAAAAGAGAAATTATAGATCCACTGGAATTCATCAAAATCTAAAACTTGTGTACATCAAACAACACTAACAAGAAAACGAAAAGAATGGGAGATTTCTCCCACAGAATGGGGTATTTACAAATCAGGTATCCGACAAGGTTCGTGTCCAGAATGTACAAAGAACTCTAACAACTCAACAATAAAAACAATCCAGTTAAAACATGGACAAAAGATCCAGATACTGTTATAAAGAAATGGCCAATAAGCGTGTAAGAATATGCTCAAGATCATTAGTCTTTAGAGAAAGGAAAATCAAAAGCAAAATGAGATAATATTTCATACACACTAGGATAGCTATAGCAAAAAGGGGAGGCAATAAGTGTTGGCAAGGATGTAGAGAAATTGGAACTCTCTTACATTACTGATGGAAATGTAAAATGGTACAGATGCTTTGGAAAAATCATTTCGCAGTTTCTCAAAAAGTTAAATGAAGAGTTACCATATGCTCCAGCAATTCTACTCCTCCATATATATCTAAGAAATTAAAAACATATGGTCACACAAAAACTGGTACAAGATTGTTCATAGCAGTATTATTCATAAAGACCAAAAAGTAGAAACAACCCAAATGTCCATCAATGGATGAATGGATAAACAAAATGCAGTACATACACACAATGGAATATTATTCAGTCATAAAAAGGAATAAAGTACTGATAAATGCTATGAACCTTGAAAGCATTATGCTAAATGAAAGCAGACAGACCCAAAGGACTACATGTTATATGATTCCATTTGTATAGAATGTCCAAAGAGGCAATCCCTGAAGACAGAAAGTAGATTCGAAGTTGCCCGGGAATGGAGGACGAAAGGAATAAGGAGTGACTGCTAGGTGGTACAGAGGTTTTGGGTTTTTTTTTCCCCTGTGGTGATGCAATGTTCTGGAATTAGGGGTGATGGCTGCATAACCTTGTGAATATACTAAAACGCACTGCATTTTACATTTTTAAATGGTTAAAGTGATGATTCTTACGTTAAGAAAATTTTATCTCTGAGTCGACCTGAGAAAAAGTAAATCACCTATGTGAGTAAGAAGACTATCAGGCTGACCTCAGATTTCTACACAGTAACAGTTCCCCCTAACTTTTAATTTTGAAAACTCAAATCTACAGAAAAACTGAAAGAAGAATACAATAAATAACCATATACTCTTCATTGGCCTTATCTACTAGATATGTGGGTGTTTATTTGCCTTTATGTAATTGTTTGCCCTTTATTTTTTTTTTTATTTTAAGCTGAAAGAAGATATCACTTCACTTCAACTTTGCTTCCACATGTTTCTCCTTGGAACAAGGGCATTCTCCTACAAACCACAGTATGATCACACCCAAGAAATCTGATGCTGATACAAAAACATTACCTAATATACAGTCCATATTCAAATTTCCCCAATTGTTCCAATAATGTCCGTGGTAGTTTTTTTAATTTTTTCCAAATATATGATCTAGTGAAAGACCATGCACTGCACTTAGCTATCAGGCCTCTTTAGTCTCCTTCAATATAAAACAGCTCCCTATTTGTTTTTCATTGACATTAACATTTTTTTGAAAAGCCTTAAACACAGTTTAGAATACCAATGTTATAACTATGTTCTAATAATATAAACAATAAAAATTGACGGGTGCAATCAAGGGAGATGCAAGAAAGTGTGGGATTGCTAATGTGTTCGTCTTTCATGGTAGGCAGTCAACCATTACTGTCTACAGTTTAAGTATATACAGTTTTTAAGAAAATAATGATTCCAGCTCCCTAACATTTTTAATAACAATTAAAAGGTCTTTTAAGAAATATTATTTTAGGCCAGGCACAGTGGCTAAAAATAAAAAAAATTAAAAAAAAATAAACAAAACTTAAAAAAATATATTATTTCTTAAGGTAGAGAACATTTAGTTTCTTTTTCAAATTAACTAATTACTTTGTATTTTTATGTTTGTTTGGTTTTTTTGAGACAGAGTCTCACTCTGTCACCCAGGTGGGAGTACACTGGCAGGATCTCGGCTCACTGCAACTTTCGTCTTCCAGGTTCAAGCAATTCACCTGCCTCAGTCTCCCGAGAAGCTGGGATTACAGGCATGCACCACTATGCTGGCTAATTTTTGTATTTTTAGTAGAGACAGGGTTTCACCATGTTGGCCAGGCTGGTCTCGAACTCCTGACCTCAGGTGATCCGCCCACCCTGGCCTCCCAAAGAGCTGGGATTACAGGTGTGAGCCACCGCCTGTATTTAAAAAATATACTAATGATAGCTTTTACTCAAATATTTCAATTTTTCTTCAGGAAAAGGTATAATGAAAATCAATGAAACACACCTGATTCATACAACTCTTCTTCCATTGATAGCCCAACTTCTCACAAGTCTCTTTCAGGCATTGATAAGATTTGTCTGCATCCAATTTGGTAAAGAATCGTGTCATTCTTTTGACCAACCGCTGCCAGGGGTTCTACATGTCAAACAGAAGACAACTGAATAAATCCATTATGACTAAAGACAGTAATATCATAGCTATTTAGTATGACTTAAAATTCTTTTGCATGAAGGCCTCCCTCTTCTCTTTCTTCCTTGACAAAAAAATACAGGTGATTTAAAAGTTATATATCTAAGATTTACACATTAAAAAAGGACTTTAAGACAATAAAAAATAAAGAGCTGCCATTATTTATTTAAAAAATGAAATTCCCTCACCTGTGAGGATCCTGGGGTTCCAAGTAACTGACTATTCAGAAGCATATGATCAGGACATGTGGGCTGGGAAAAGCTGATCCCTTGTACCAATTTATCAATGTATGAGGGACTGGTATCCCATAAGGAAAGACCTGTGCGTGGTTCTGGCTGAGAACTGGAGTACTTCACATTTTCTTCACTAAGGCATTAAGACAGAAGGAAACATACATAAAATAAAATCTATCAGGCCTTTCTTATATCACACAAAAGTTCTCATGCTTACAGTATTATGTTCATTAATGTCAAATATTATGAAAAAACACATACATGTATTATTCTTCAGGGGGGATACTACAATCAAAAACTACTTAATCTTTATCAGTCTTACCTAGAAGCACTGTTTACTGGAGAGAAGTCCAAATTGGATTGAATGTGCTTAGAGAATCCACTGGGAGACTCTGACACACCACCTGAAGTGACTCGGGGCCTTTTTGCCCCTAAAAAAGAAAACAAATACAAATGCTTTCAAGTCTTCTACGCAAATATGTTTTTAAATTAACTCAACTGGCAACTTGAACAAGTAAAACTATGTCTAAATCTATTTATTTAACACAAAATTTTTATAAGATATAAAACAAAGCCTTCCTATATGATTTTATAAAAAATGTGGCCAACTTCTAAAATTACTAAGACTCATTTGTCCAATTAGGTATTTTACAATACCTAAGTATGACCTGTAGGCATGTTCAAAGTGTGGAGTATGCGCAGACCGCAATCTTTTTTTTTTAAAAAGAGTCTTGCTCTGTTGCCCAGGCTGGAGTGCAATGGAGCAATCTCGGCTCACTGCAAGCTCCATCTCCCAGGTTCATATCATTCTCCTCCCTCAGCCTCCTGAGTAGCTGGGACTACAGGCGCCCGCCACCACATCCGGCTAATTTTTGTATTTTTAGGAGAGATGGGGTTTCACTGTGTTAGCCAGGATGGTCTTGATCTCCTGACCTCGTGATCCACGCGCCTCAGCCTCCCAAAGTACTGGGATTACAGGTGTGAGCCACCGTGCCTGGCCCAGGTCACAATCTTAATGGCATCTTTTGTGGGTAACAGAACAATGTTCTATGAAGACGACAGACCTGGCTAAAGGACTAGAACTTTTTAAAATAAAAAATAATTTATGATAATAGCAATAAACATTATGAATCTGTTCTAGCCAAAACTCTTTGATTCCCTGGAAAAGCTTTACAAAGAAGAATATTATATGGAAAATGACACCACTGTAAATTTATGGTTACAATCCCTAGCCAAACCTCAATATTGCCAGATAATTCTGTTTCTCTAGTTTCTTTTCCTTTTCTCCACAAGGATCATTTCAAAACTACACTTTTCTGTAATTCCCAAGACTACCATCCAGTACCTACACTACCACCTTCCATTTCAGAGAGAAAGCCATTAGACAGAAACTACATCAACTTATCCCTATCAAATCGAAGTTACTTGTATTACTATACATCGTTTCATCCCTTCCATTCTCCTATCGAATGTTCATCTCTCTACTTGTGCTTTGGAGCCTATACCCTTCTACCTCCTCAGGGATCTTGATCCTGTTACTTATTCCCTTTCTCTTAGACTGTCAGCCTCTTCCTCTCTACAGGATCTATACCCAAACCACTTAAACAGGCTTAAGTTTCTTTTTTTTTAAAACATGCTTAAGGTTTTTTTTTTAAACCTGCTTTTTATTTATTAATCCATCCATTCAAATATTTTATTAGGTCTACTCTGTGCCAGGCATTATTCTAGGTATTAGGTATTCAGCAGTGAGCAAAATAGAAAAAAATCCTTGATCTCTTAAATCCTACATTCTACTGAGGAGAGACAAAATAACGTAAAATAAATTCAAATAAAGTTAAAAATAAGCTAAATGATGGTAAGTACAATGGAGGAAAATAAAATGAAGAAATGTGTGGGATTGCATATGTCCACAAGATAGTGAAAATTTTAAAAATTTAAGAAAAGTGTTAGAGGGAAGGGGATATCATTTTAAATAGCATGGCCAGGAAAGGCTTATTGGAAAGATGACATTGAAGTCAATATCCAAAGAAAGTGAGAGAATAAGACATGCAAATAAGTCCCGTTGGAAAAAGCATTTTCAGGCATAGGGAACAGTCATTACAAAATCAGTGAGGTAGAAGTATGCCTGGAGCACTTGGAGAACAATGAGAAGACTGATATAGGTATGACCAAGGGGGAGCAAAGCAGAATTGAGGTCAGAGAAGTAACGTAAGGGACAAAACTGTGTAAGAACTCACAGGTCATCAACTGACTTTAGCTTACACTCTGGGTGAGAACTAAAGCACTGGAGGTTTTGGGTAGAACGGTGACATATTCTAATTTATTTTTAAATCAGAACACTCTGGAAAGATATCATAGTAGTTTGGAATGATAGGCTTGCCGTGGAGGTGAAAAAAGGTAATCAGATTCTAGAATTTTAGAGGTTAACAGAATTACCTGGTGGACTGGATGTGAAGTAAAAGAGAATGAGAAAAATGAAGGATGATTCCAAGGTTTCTGATCTGCATAACAAGAATAATGCAGTTGCCATTAACCAACAAGGGAAAGACTTTGAAGAGGAATGGATTTGAAAAGAAAAGAACAGTAACTCAGTTTGAAATTCATCAAGTTTGAGATGCCTCTTAACGTTCAAGTGAAAGTTCAGAAGGCAGTTAAGACATATAAGTTTGGCTGGCGCGGTGGCTCAAGCCTGTAATCCCAGCACTTTGGGAGGCCGAGACGAATGGATCACGAGGTCAGGAGATCGAGACCATCCTGGCTAACACGGTGAAAGCCCGTCTCTACTAAAAAAATACAAAAAACTAGCCGGGCGTGGTGGCAGGCGCCTGTAGTAGAGTGAGACTCCGTCTCAAAAAAAAAAAAAAAAAAAAAGACATGTAAATTTGGAATTTAGAGGAAAGGTCTAGGTTGATATAAATGTGACAACTATCAACATACAGTTTTATTCAGAGCCATGAAACCAAGTAATATTACTAATGGAGTGAGTGCGGAGAAGAAAACAAAGGAGATCCATAGATTCAGCCCTAGAGAACTCCAATAGTAGGAGGCTGAGTAGATGAAAGAAAACCATCAAAAGAGACTGAAAAGGAGTGACCAGTGAGAAGGATGAAAATCAGAAGAGTGTAATGCCTGGAAGCCAAACGAAGAAAGTGTTTAAAGGAGGAGGGCATGATCAACTGTATAAAATACTGATGAGATAAAACAAGAGGTCTGAGAACTAACTACAGTAGTCCCTACTTACCCACAGAAAGATATGCTCAACTGGATGCCTGAAAGTACAAATGGTACCAAACCCTATATATGTTCTTTCAATCTAATAACCAAAACAGCTACAAGCAGGTAGCACATGGAACATAAATATACTGGAAAAAGTGAAGATTTTTGGGTATTTTTCTCCTGCTGCAAACCATTGTGCAGGTACAAGTGTGGAGTACGTAGAAAACTACTAGATTAAACCCAGAAACTACTTACTGGGTTTTACCCACTAAATATGATGAAGAGAGAAAGGGACAAGGAAATTGAAGATGATGAATACAAAGCAGTCATTTATAATGACTAACCTAAAGATTTAAGATAAGTAAAGATGAAATCAAGGACCTAGAGAGGGAGCAGGTAAGAGACTGAAGAGATAGAATTAATTAATTGCAAGTCCAGATAGAGTCAAAGGACTGTTTAAGTCAGAATATTAAGGGAGGAAGTCAGAAAAATTATACTGGTGATCAGTGCAGGGCGTTCAAAGACAACATTACTACAGGAGAGAAGGTCAAGTAACAGTGAAGTCAGGATATTAGGAGGATCATCCAAATAAATATTTAAATCACCAAGAATCATGACGAAAATTACATCAAGGGTCATTATGGAGACTATGAGAGTATGGCAGAAATTTTAATTGGGGGTTCAAAAGTTAGAGGGGAGAGACATACAGGAAGATGGGAGAAAGTAACAATGAAAAATAAGGAGGACACCTGTGCCATATCCAGATCAAAGGACATGAGGGTATGGGAAAGAAAATACCTACCACTTCAGAGGAAGCAGCGTCCTCAGGGTAGAATTGGGCTTTAGGTTAGAACAACGAGAAAGAAACAGGCAGAGAGGTATTAAAGAAGAGTGAATTTTTAAACATTAACTCTTTTCTGTCCATGAGGACAGAGTTAAACATTAATTCTTCTTTAATAACTCTCTGAATGTTTCTCATTCATAATCTCTAGTCATTGTCCTCTCTCCTCCCATTCACAGCCTAACAGTCCTATCAATACTAGTTCTTAAATTTCTTTGGGATCATCTCATTTCTCCAATACCACTGCCCTAACCTACTCCAAGCCACCATCTTACCACAACTAGACAACTAGCAGAAAAACCTACAGTACCCTGAATCTTTCCCCATTCATAAAAAACAATGGGGGCGGGGGGGAAGGTCGTCAGAGAGATATTTTTAAACCAAAGATATGACTATGTCACATTCTTGCTTAAAATCTCCCAAAGGTCTCCCCAGTGGTCTTAAGTTAAAAGCCCCAAATCCTTAACATGGCTTACAAGGTCTTCTTCCACAAACGGGCCACTGGCGACCTCTCTATCCTCATCTTAAACCTCTCTTCCTCTCCCACTTCCCTGTTCACTCATTTATTCAACAAATATTTAATGAGTGCCTATGGTGCACCATATACTGTGCTAAGCACTGACGATGCAATGATGAACACAGCAGACATGGCTCGTGCCATACTGATCTTTCAAGTTTCTCAAATGCATCAGACTTTCAAAAACCTAAGAGTTTTCAAATACTGCTTCCCCTGTTCAGAATCAAATCTGCCACTTACTTTGCCTGGCTAGCTTCCTTTTAATCTTCAAATCTTAGATTTAATGTAATTTCTTCAGGAAGAAAAGTCTTCCCTGTCCCTTAGACTTGGTCAAACACTTAGCTATAGTACCCTGACTTTCCCTTTTATAATTATTAATAAACAAAATTATTTTTATATTTTTTTCCTACTAGACATTATAATCTCCATGAGGACAGAGATCATAGCCATCATGTGTTGTTGACTTGTGATAATGACTTTGCAATTACCTTTTCTTCCACAGAAAAACAAACATGTAGTTTAAGGATATTACCTTTCTTGAGGGGTTTGTTGTACCATCTATCTTTTTTGATGTCTGGAATGGTAATTCTTGCTGATGGATTCTCAACTAGGATTTTATGCAGCAGAGCTAAAAACAAACATTAAGACAACATTCATGAAAGCGTCATGGAGATTCGAGAAGCCTATGGCTTGCGGTAAGAAACACATTTTCTGTTGGCCTACTTATGTCTAAATATTATTTCTGGGGAAGAGAAAGAATTAAAGCTACTAAATTATTGCTTTAATTTCATGCAGTTTTTCTCTGCTGCTGTCTATATCTTGGAATAGTCTTCCCTTGATCTGATTCTCAATTGTTTGCAACTGAGAACAAGAGCCAGGTGGAAATGTTTCTCCTCATGTGACAAGATTAACAAAAAGATACAGAAACCCCCTTATCCATTCTCAATACTGAATTTCATTACTTCAATGTCATGTTCTCACGTGATCTCCTTATTCAGTTTTATAATGAACATTTACTTACCAATAACTTTTAAAGAGACAGTAATCTAACCATCCTAAGGTATCTTGATTTTCTTGAGAAAAAATTCATGTATCTCCCTACATCAAAATTATTTCCTAATGGACCAAAGATTTAAATGTAAAAATGAAGCCATAAAACCATTAAATGAAAAAGTAGGGAACTTTTAAATAGTAGAGGTAGAAGACCTTTCCAAAGACATTATAGTCAGGGACCACAAAGGACAAGATAATAGATTTGAATGTCAATATAGCAAAACAAAATGAAAATAAATGATAAACTGTGAAAAGTATTTGTAACAAGTGCAAAGGTCAATATGTTACAAAAAAAAAAAAACAACAAAACTTCAAACTGGTAAGAAAAATATGCTTGACAAAAATGAGCAAAATAGACAAAAAACTAACATATAAATAAAGTGTATACAACTTCATTAGTATTAAATTTAAAATAAAAATAAAAGACTATCATTTAAAGGCCTGTTAGTTTTTTTTTTTTTTTAATGTAAATTGATGAGACTGTGATGAAATGGTTCGAACTTTCAGGAAGCAATTTGACAAAATAAGCCATAATAATAAAAACTACATCTTTGATGCTGCAATTTTGCTTCTGCGGATTTCAATGAACAATTTAAGGGTATGTGTCATGATTAAGTTACACAGATACTTATATCTCTTTTGTATCTGTGAAAATTTAGAAAAATCTCCAACAAAGTGATTAAAAGAGTATCATAAGGCATATCCACATGGGAGAATATCATCACAGCCTTTAAAACAACGATGTAGACCTACAATTATAGTCATGGAAGAATGTTCCCTGCACATGAAAACCAAAAGCAGTTACAAAATATTAGTGTGATCTCATTTTGTATAAAAACACATATAAATAATATACATATATTCATTTTACATACTCATGGGCCACATGAATGATGTTTCAGTCAAGAATGGACCACATGTATAACAGACAGTCCCATTAGAGTATAACACTGTATTTTTACTATACTTTTCCTATATTTAGATACACAAATACCATTATGTTACAATTTCTTACAGTACTCAATAGAGTAACATGCTATAGAGGTTTGCAGCCTGGGACCAATAGGCTATACCATATAGCTAGATTTATAGTAAGCTGTACTATCTAGATTTATGTAAGTATACTCTATGATGTTCACACAATGATGAACTCACCTAACGAAACAACTGTTAGAGTGCATCCCTATAGTTAAGCAACAAATGAGTGTATTTGTAACAAAGTATAGCACATGTGAAAACTTTTTTTTTTTTAAGTAAAAAGCCACCTAAGAGCACAGATTCAAGTTGCTCTGAATATACACTCCCCAAAATATTTTTAAAAATCTATGGCAGAGTTCTGGGACAAAAGTTATTTTTTCCTTAATTTTTACTTATAGTTACCAATTTATCTACAAGATTCATGAATTATTTTTAAGTTTAAAACAAAAAAATAAGAAAATATTCAATAGCACAAGACTTCAAGAAATCAGTACTCTTTCACTCAAGATAATCCGTTACCTAGAGGAGCAGAATCGATTTTTTTCCAAGGGTTGAGGTATGTTTTTTTTTCTTTCCAGTCAGAATATTCCTGACAGCTGTCACTGGGTTGGTCCCATGGCAATTCTAAAAACAAAGCAAGTCCCAGTTTTTTTTAATGTTCAGATTTCAAGGAAAAATGGTAATATAAATCCATGAAAAGTTTCCTTTGAATTAATTCAATATGGTTTTCAAACTAAGAATCCCAACCTGGCCACTGCACTCCAGCCTGGGTGACAGAGCAAGACTCTGTCTCAAAAAAAAAAAAAAAAAAAAAAAAAAAAAGAATCCCAACTTAGAAACTTTAGAGGCACTTCAAAGATAGATGAATCAGAGCAGGCATGGTAGCTCAGGCCTGTAATCACAGCACTTTGGGAGGCTGAGGCAGAAGGATTGCTTGAGCCCAGGAGTTTGAGACCAGCCTGGGAAACAGTGAGATCCCATTTCTACAAAAAAATAAATAAAAGTAGCTGGTCGCGGTGGTGTGCCTCTGTAGTCCTGGCTCCTGAGGAGGCTAAAGTGAGAGGATCACTTGAACCTGAGAGGTCAAGGCTGCAGTGAGCCAAGATCACACCACTGCACTGCAGCCTGAGCGACAGAGCAAGACTTTGTCTCAAAAAATAAAATAATAAAAAAAAACAGATGAATCACTTCTTGCCCTAGTCTTGTTTTCAAAAATGTTACATGATTCATAGGAGAGATAAGTGTTGTGAAATTTCGTAACTATGCATGCCTCATCTTAAAAAATCTTTGGGATTATAAATAAGTTACTATTTGCAATGTAATAAATATTTGTGTCCCCCTCAAAAGTCATGCTGAAATCCTAACTCACAATGCAATGGCATTTGGAGGTGGGGCCTTTGAGAGGTAATTAGGTCCTGGCGATGGGATCCCTCAAAAAATGGTATTAGTGCTCTTATTAAGACCTTATTAGTGTCTAATAAGGGCTCGTGTGCCTGGCCAATATTATGCCTTCATAGGGCACTAATTACGTAATCCCAGCACTTTGGAAGGCCAAGGTAGGCAGATTACTTGAGCCCAGGAGTTCAAGACCAGCCTGGGTACCATGGCAAGACCATCTCTAAAAAAAAAAAAAAAAAAAAACCACAAAAAATAAGCCAGGCATGGTGGTGCACGCCTGTAGTCCCAGATACTGAGGGGACTGAGGTAGGAGGATCGCTTGAGCCTGGGAGGTCAAGGCTGCAGGGAGCCTTGAATCGTGCCACTGCACTCCAGCCTGGGCAACAGAGTCAGACCCTGTCTCAAAAAAAAAAAAAAAACACAAAAAACAAAACAAAACAAAAAACAGACACAATGTCTCACAACATCTGGTCATTTTAAAAAAACAAAAAAACCAAAAACAGCACTTTGGGAGGCTGAGGTGGGTGGATCACTGGAGATCAGGAGTTTGAGACCAGCCTGGCCAACACGGTGAAACCCTGTCTCTAGTCAAAATACAAAAATCAGCTGGGATTGATGATGCGTGCTGGTAATCCCAGTTACTCGGGAGGCTGGGACAGAACTGCTAGAATCTAGGAGGTAGAGGCTGCAGTGAGCTGAGATTGTACCACTGCACTCCAGCCTAGGTGACAGAGCAAGACTCTGGTCTTAAAAAAAAAAACACAACACCATAGGACCTGCTTCTGCTCTCTTGGCTGTCCACCATGAGAGAGCACAGGAATACAGCCATCTGCAAATCAGGAAGAGGGCCCTCGCTAAAACATGACCAGGTTGGCACTCCTAATATCATACTTTCAGCCTCCAGAACTGTGAGAAATAAATTTGTTGTTTATAAGCTATGTAGTCTATGATACTTTGTTACAGCAACCTAAACTGATCAAGAGACTATTAAAATACTACTCTAGAAGCTGGGTGCCATGGCTCATGCCTTTAATCCTAACAGTTTGGAGGCCAAGACAGAAGGTTTGCTTGAGACCAGGTGTTTAACACCAGCCTGGACAACATAGCAAGACCCCATCTCTACAATAGATTTTTAAAACTTAGCCAGATGTCTTGTGGCAAGCACCACTGGTCCTAGCTACTTGGAAGAATGAGGCCAGAGGATTGCTTGAGCCTAGAAGTCTGAGGCTGCAGTGAGCTATAATAGCTCACTATACTCCAGTTTGGACAGCAGAATGAGACCCTGTCTCTTAAAAAGAAAACAAAAACTATTATATAAATATGAATTCCTTGGTTTATTTCATTTATTTCAGTATAACTAATCTGACTTTTTATAGGAATTTTACCATGATTAAAGAGCTCTTACCTCCAGCGAGCATTGCAGTAAGTACTATTCCACAAGACCAAACATCAACCGGTTCTGCATGAAATTCTCTTCTCTTCAGAAGTTCTGGAGCAACATATGGTAAAGTACCACACATCTTGTTCAACAAACGCTCACGATTATTATACCGAAATACTGTTGCCAAGCCAAAGTCTGAGATTTTGAGGTTATCTAAACCAAAAGAAAAAAAGACGGCACTGATGGGTCAGGAGATCGAGACCATCCTGGCTAACCCGGTGAAACCCCGTCTCTACTAAAAAATACAAAAAACTAGCCGGGCGAGGTGGTGGGCGCCTGTAGTCCCAGCTACTTGGGAGGCTGAGGCAGGAGAATGGCGTAAACCCGGGTGGCGGAGCTTGCAGTGAGCTGAGATCCGGCCACTGCACTCCAGCCTGGGCAACAGAGTGAGACTCCGTCTCAAAAAAAAAAAAAAAATGTTTTGCAAACACATATACTTACAGGAATTAAGTTTTATTAAAAAAAAAAAATCACTGGTGTTACTTAAGGTTTGTAGAACTTCTCTTAAAATAAGCAAAATAGACCAAATTTAAAAAAATATACATCATCATCTATGCTAAAAGTAGAAAAAGGCCTCATCTCTTCTATTAACTTAAAAGAAGTATAACCAACATGCAAAGCAGTCTGGACCAGATTAAAGCAAGAGGTTGGAGTCAGAAGGTGCTGCCCTTCTGGAAAAGAGCACTCTAAACCTAAGCTGAAAGCAAAGCAAGGCCCTTCATCAGGTAGGGTGGAAGGCAGGAAGGAAACATCAGTAATACGTTAGGCACAACTTTCTCAGCAGCAAGCAAACCCAGAGAAGAAAATATGTGAAGACAAACCAAAATTTAACAAACCACAATAATATTTTTCTTTTTCAAAGTAGGCAGTCTGAGAAAAAGAGGAAAAATTCTGTACAAAAAAAAATTCAGAAGACCAAACATACACCCTAACTTCCCATCTTCAACACACAAAAACTGCAGGCAGGACTTAACTTATATTTAGTGAAGATCTACTATAACTTAGTGACAGACACTATGCCAGCCAATGCAGGTAGCAGATAAATCAGTGAAGACTGACAATAGAAAACTGTTATGAAGGTTATAAAAATATAGAGCACTACAAGATCTTAGAGCAAAGGAATCTAACCCGGTCTTAAGAGTTAGAAAAGGCCTTCTATTATCCGAGGGCAATCTGGCAAAACATACTAAAATGTGACACATTCACTCTTTGAACTAGCAATTCCCACTTCTATATCCATAGAAATAATCTCGTAAATTCACAAACATAAGAATATCCATAGCAATATTATTTGTAAATAAATGTCCATCAATAAATGATTAAATCTTACAGTACGTTTGCACAATGGAAAATGTGGAGGTAGGTTTTGAAAAAAATCAACAAGGTATATCTATACATACTGATATGAAATCGTGCGTAAGTGGGACAAAAAGGCTAACGGCATAAAAAGTATTATAGCATGACCCAATTTTTATATTGGCCCTTTACACAAATTGATAAAAGTCATCACTGTTCTATTTTATTTTTTAAGTTAGAAGCAACTTAAATGTCTCAAAATAGGGGACTGATTCTTTAAAAATCAAGTACATTCACACAATATGTAAACCAATGAAATGTTTACCTCTATCTGACTGAGGAGGTAGCTACTGTGACTATCCTTTTTTTTTTTTTTTTTTTTTGGTTGTTGAGAAAGGGTCTCACTCTGCTGTTCAGACTAGAGTGTAGCAGCGTGATCACGGCTTACTGCAGCCTTGCCCTCCTAGGTTGAAGCGATCAATCCTCCTGCTACAGCCTCCCCAGTAGCTAGGACTCCAGGTGTACACCACCATGCCTAATTTTTAAAAAAATTTTTCATACAGACAGGGTCTACGTTGTCCAGGCTGGTCTCAAACTCCTAGGATCAAGTAATCTTCCCACGCCAGCCTCCCAAAGTGTTGGGATTACCGGCATGAGCAACTGCATCCAGTTATCTTTTTAATAGCTAAATATGACACTATCTGGACAAACCACCAAGATTGAGTTCCAAATTACTTATAAGTAGTAATCACTTAAAATACTAATGGATAACTAAAATATTCTTTCGACTTCGTTTTGTTATGTCTGCAACATAATACTGAGCTATGTTACAGAATTGCACATAATAAAATTTAAATTTAGGAATATGTTTAGCTCTTAGAAAAAGAAAGGAAGAATATATTTGTGATGAAATAAACAGGAGGGCATTAAATACTGGTAACACTTTATTTCTTTTTTAAAAAGACTCCTAAATATTAAATAGAAACAAAGAATTATATCTTGTATATTAATACAAGATATAAGGAATAACAATGTAATAAACACCCACTCACTTTAGAAAACAATGTTCTATTTCCTTTGAAATCTGTAAATACTTCCTTACATACATTCCCTCCCTTACCTTCTTAGAGGTAACCACTATTCTGAATTTGGTTTTATCACAACACCCTTGCTTTTCTGCGTGTTATTTTCCTCCATGTTTACATCCTCAAACAATATACTAGGTTTTACATATTTTTGAACTGTGTATAAATAGAATCAGACCATATGAATACTTTTGCAACTGTCTCTTTTTGCTCTACATCATTATATACCTGAAATTCATCCATGTCACTGCTTGTAGATATAAGGCATCCATTTCATAATTTATTGTTGATAGGCATTTGGGTTATTTAGTTTTCTGCTATATTAAAAACATCGCCACTGTGAGCATCCTTATATACAAATAATGTTGTCTTTTTAAACCAGGTGGATTGATACATATCTATTCACATTTCATTATAATATTATACATAAGAATTTTTGTGTATCTGAATTTTTTAAATTTTAAATAAAGATTTTTATGTTATAGAAACTCAAAGTAAAGGGGTAAAAAGTAAAATCCATATGCACGTAAGAAAATAGCATGTATAGGTTGGGTGCGGTGGCTCACACCTATAATCCCAGAACTCTGGGAGGCCAAGGGAGGCGGATCACTTGAGGCCAGGAGCTCGAGACCAGCCTGGCCAACATGACAAAACCTCGTCTCTACTAAAAATATAAAAATTAGCCAGGTGTGGTGGCTCAGGCTTGTAATCCCAGCTACTCAGGGGCCTAAGTCATGAGAATCACCTGAACCGGGGAGGCAGCGGTTACAGTGAGCCGAGATCATGTCTCTGCACTCCAGCCTGGGCAACAGAGCAAGATTCTGTTTCAAAAAAAGAAAGCCAACCATTTGTTAAGCACTATTCTAATACTAAGAATAAAACATCAAACCAGACAAAAACTGCCTCATACAGCTGATATTTCTTTTTTGATTCTGACCCTATAAGCTAAAGCTTTCGCTATCCATCCTTCTCAATTTGATGACATCCAGAAAACATAACTAAATTTCTTATCTATTTATCCAAGTCATACATAAAAAAAGAGTGAACAGGACAAGACTAAGGTCCAGGGTATTCCACAGGAACTTCCCTTTATTAATGCATTAAAGAATTATTTTAAACTATTCTTGGCCAGGCATAGTGGCTCATGTCTATAATCCCAACACTTTGGGAGGCTAAGGCCAGTAAACCGCTTGAGTCCAGGAGTTCAAGACTAGCCTGAGCAACACAAGGAAATTCCATCTTTACAAAAAATTAAACATTAGTCAGGCATGGTGACACCTGCCTGTAGCTGGTCCTAGCTACTCGGGAAGCTGAGGTGGTAGGATCGCTTGAGCCTAGGAGGTCAAGGCTGCAGTAAGCCCTGATAATACAGTGTACTCCAGACTGGGCGACAGAGTGAGATCCTGTATCCAAAAAAAAAAAAAAAAAATTATTCTTATACATATAGTGAGCTAGGCTTGCACCTAGGTCAGGTTTCTCTACCTGATCCGCAATTGTATTGCATAATGAGACTTGTGATTTCCAAATATACTAAGTCTCCAAAATTTCCTTGATTTTTCAGATTTTGTCTGGAAATTCCAGTAATGCAAAAGACTTGATTTTGCCTTGTATGGCTATGTTAAAATAACTTAGGTACCAGTGATAAAATGCTAAACTTACCCCTTTCATCCAACAGAAGATTTTCTGGTTTAATATCCCTGTGAGTTATTCCAATACCATGCAGATAAACCTAAGAGGGATGCAGAGGGAAACACACTAGAATTTGGTAATGTAATGTATTCATACTAATTTTAAATAAAAGGGACATGGACAACTATACCTACCACTCCTGCCATGAGCTGATGGAAGAACCTCTGAGCATCTTGTTCAGGCATGCCTATGTCTGGCTCTAAAACAAGTAAGAAAGTAAGTTTATTGACTAAATATAATCAGGTAGCAACCACATAGCTTCTTAATTTGAAGCTTAGACATTTACAAATGTACTTAGGCAAACAGAAGCAAATGCCAACAAAAGATTCAGGAGTCCACTAACACATAGAGGGCTTAACTCACATTTACCTCTGTTAGATGGCAAAAGTAGTATTACAGAAAAATTATAAAGAGAAAAACCCATATCCAAATCAAGAATGTAAGCCATGCCTTGAAAGCCCCTGCTTCCTCTTATACTAACCCTGATTCAGTAACCTTCAAATTCTCCCCTATTTCTTCTAAATGCTATGCTAATTATTTTTCTCATTCCTGAAATATAATGCCAAAGAGGAAGTCTGGGCAAATCTAAGCCAATTTCACTAAATATTTTAGAGATTATACTTCTTTCATTATTTAACTTTTTTTAGAGATAGGGTCTTGCTCTTTCACCCAGGCTGGAGTGCCCTGGCGTGAGATCATAACTCACTGTAACCTGGAGCTCTTGAGCTCAAGCAATTCTCCTGCCTCCTGAGTAGCTAGGATTACAGGCATGTACCACCACACCTGGCTCAGATTTAAACTTCATATAGTCTCACAGTACAAAACCACGAATGCCTGTGAGGTCCTTCATGAAACACAGTTTCATTATGAAAATTCTTTTATCAGTTATCTTTTTATATTTTGATCTCTCTCATTAACTCCATTTCTTTTACCCTCAACTCTCTCCTGAGTCACACTGGAGATCCTAGTACCTCTTTATCAGTTTTTAACTGTTAATACAATAGCTTTAAATTATAAATTTACATCCAGATTTTATGTACTTCTCAGTGTTCTGAAATATCGGTCCTTTGATTCTACATAGAATGTTTAAGTATTAATAGCAAACACAGATTTACTTAATATACAAAAAGCAATCCTAGAAAATTCTCAATTATTTCATGTGAACCAAGAGGAAACAGCATGCTATTTTAGATCTGTAAATGTATACAATGATTTCATATAACTAGAATGTCTACAAAGAAAAAATTGTGTAGGCAATACATTGCATTTAGGATACACTGCATTTATGATGTACCATAAAACTACATTTTGTCACTCTTAAATTCTGTAAGACACCAATCTTAAACCAAAATCACTTATATAACTTGGGAAAGAAGTCTTCTTTCATTGACTCTATATATGCTTTTATGTATTAATACCAGTAGGAAAAATTTTTTAAAGATAATTTATTCCAATTTCACTGTTGCATGAGCAATTTTGAAAGGACAACGACCAAATAGCATGCCCAAGATTTAAAAAACAAATTTAAAAATTTGTTTAAAATAATTAAATTTCTTCCATACCTATTCTGTCAAAAAGCTCTCCTCCACTACAGTACTCCAGAAATAAATATTGGATATTGCCTTCTCTCCTGTGACCATAGAATTTTACTACATTTTCATGATTTAGCATTTTATTGATACAGATCTCTTTCTTAATATTTTCTGGACAGTCTACGGCACGCTTCATATCTACAATCTTCACTGCGACTGCTTCTTCAGTTACTCTATTCACAGCAAGTTGAACTCTAAAAAGGAAAAAAGTTTTAACATTACAGAATTCCATTTCTTCTAAAACTTCCAAAGATTAAACATGACGCATCCAAAACTATTTTACCTTTATTACTTTTTCCACAAAGGAGAAACCAAGGAAGTGGTTTCTGCTATGTTCTCAACAGACACTACTTCTTTCTAAAATGTGAAATACAATAGCTAACCCTCCAAACACGTCATTATGCTGTCACACAAGTCATTTAATAAACGCTTCATAAAATAGACTGAGGTAATTCTAAGCCACATCACATATATACATGTTCTACTCACATACTTTTAAGAGCATTAATCCCATATTATATGTGCTTGTGTAACTGTCCTAAGCTCCTATGGGGTAGATACTACTATTGCCACCCTAAAGGTGGTGAAGGAGAGGTACACAATGACATTAGGAAGCTTGCCTAAGATCACAAAACAATGACCAGTATGTGACAGAGCAAGGATCTGAAACCAGGCAATCTCCAGAGTCTGCTCATTAATCACGATGCTTAAACTCTGAGAAGCAATGTGTGGGCACGAAAACAGTAACTTCGTGTCCCTTCCAGCTCTTTACAAAGAAAACTTTTTTTTTTTTAAGGGAAGGAAAAAAATATTAATCCTAGCAAAAAGATTGTGTAACTTCAGTTGCCAAAAATCTTGGATCTCAAACATCTACTCTCTAAATCACCAGAGTATGAAACTCCAAAACAATGAATATGCACTCAGAAGACAAAGGCAAGGTTAAAAGAACTCACTCTCCATAGGCACCTTCTCCCAGGGTTTGCACCAAGTCCCAGTCTTCCACAAAGGGCACTGCCATGACTCCACCGGAGCTCGGCTGTAAAAGGCAGGAATCCAGAAAAGATGGAAAGTGAGCGTAAGATCACCTGTGAAGCCACTGTGCCTCGCCTCTCCCCAGGATTCCCCACGAAAAATAACAGCTCTTGCCTTCCCCTTATATCTCATCCACATTTATCCAAGTCTTTCAATCACGAACAACTATTCTAAACTTGGCCATTTTGTCGTGTAAATCACAATCGCCATTCCCACGCACACCGAAGGTTGAAATTCTGCCCTCCTCAGGCCTCAGAGGAAATTAATCGTTGTGGTGAAGAGGTGAGAGACAAATGCTTTCCGGTGAACGACTGGGGAAGGAGGAGGGACAGGTGGGGGTCTGGGGAAGAAAGAAAGGGGATAAAGGGAGCGGAACCGGGCAGAAGACGCCTGCGGCAGCGCCTCCTCCCAATTGCTCAGTTCCAATTCCCATCCCCATCCACACCCCCACCCGTCCCAGAGGCCGGGGCGGGGCCAAACTGCCCCGAGAGGCGGAAGGAAGGGCTGGGACCCTTCCTTGGGGTTCTTAGCTAGCAGTGTGTTAGTCCCTCCTGCCCCCTCTCTACAACGGGAATCTCCTGGTACCATTCCTCCACCCTCCGAAACCGCCCCTCCGCAGGAGTCTCTCCAATCCCCTGCGCTAGTCAATGCTAACTTTCTCCCACCGTGCCCTCCCTCGCTAATTTAGACCCCGAACTCCTTCTTTAGAAGCCTTTCCTACCCTACCGGCCGCCCCTGCTCACCGGACTGTCCTTTGCCCACCACTGCAGGAATCCAAATGCAGCGCTTTTCCCGCCAAAACTTGCTGGCGTCACGCTGCCGCAAACTCGCGCACCCGTGCCGTAAAGCAAGACAGGGCGCGTTCCCGGGTCTTGCCTCTCTGAATGTCGGCGGCTTCGAAAGACTGACGCCGAGAGGTTGCCGCTCCCGCCCAGAGTTGCTTTACAGTCGGGGAGAGATTCTGGCTGAATAGGTTTAAGGACGGCGGACCGCATCGGTGCGAATTGAGCTCTGGGCCCAAATATGAAGTGGCATCCGGCGTGAGGCTCGGCTGGGCGGTGCTCGAGCGCCTCTGGGTGAAGCCCAGGCCTCCATGCCGCGGGGTCGCGCGACCGTCCGCGCTGCGCTTCCAGGCGGGTGTGCGGGCTTAGCTCCTGGCCACTCTGGGCCTGAAAAGCTGCACTACCACCTGCGGGAGGCCACCGGACAGGACTGTGAGGATCACAGTCAGTGCTGCAGAGTGCTTTGTGAACTTCAGAGTGCTGTACCCGTGGTGCTGGAGCCGAGAAACTAGCAGCAGCAGCTGAGAGCTGACTGTGAAGAAATGGGAGGAACTCCGTGTTGGGAGCGAGAGGCATCGAAAGGACTGGCCACGCAGTCAAGTGTGTGTGGCGGGGGAAACTTCCCGGAGAAAGAAAGCAGTTTATTTTGGAGCTTGAAGTCGGGATAACCAGTTCTGCCTTTTTTCTGTGAACCAGCTCCAAAGCAATGCTTTAGTTCAGCCCAATCTTTTTGCAGGAAGACCATCTGCTTAGCTTAGTTCTACAAAAGTTTTCATTTTTAATGTGCAAAAAACAGGCGGGGAGAGCCAAAATAAATTTTACAATGCAAATTTAAAAGCCGCGAACGTCATTTAAATAGAAAAGTAAATCTGAGGAAAGAGACTCGAGAACAAAATAGGAAAAATTGAAATAAGTATTCTCTGACAGTAAACTAGACTGGAACTCAAGGATAGGCAGGATCATCTCCATTACATTCTCCAGCACTGGCCGGGCGCAGTGGCTCCTGCCTAGAATTCCAGCACTTTGGGAAGGCGAGGCAGGAGAATGGCTTGAGGCCAGGAGTTCAGGACCAGCCTGGGGAACATAGGGAGACCCCATCTCTACAAATAAATTTTAGGAATTAGTTGGGCTTGGTGGTGTGTCCCTGTAGCCCTAGCTACTTGGGAGGCCTAGGCAGAGCAATCGTTGGAGTCCAGGAGTTAGAGGTTAGTGAGCTATGATAGCACTACTGCACTCCAGCCTGGGCAACAGCATGATTCCGTATATATATATTTTTTTATGTTTATATATTTTATATATATATATTTTTTCTTAGTCCTTAGGACTGGGCCGCATACAAACACTAAGCATAACTAGCTATTATGCTAATAGTAACAAAGTAAAACAAGTATAAAATGTTACTCAAGGCTGGGCCCGGTGGCTCAAGCCTATAATCCCAACACTTTGGGAAGCTGAGGCGGGTGGATCACCTGAGGTCAGCAGTTCAAAACCAGTCTGACCAACATGGTGAAACCCCCATCTCTACTAAAAATACAAAAATTAGCCGGGCGTGATGCCGAATGCCTGTAATCCCAGCTATCCAGGAGGCTGAGGCTGCAGTGAGCCGAGACTGCAAGACTCCCTCTAAACAAACAACCAACAACAAAACACACATTTCTTTTAAAGAAGCAAAATCAGGAACAAAAATCAAGGAAAAAGCTCTCAAAATGCTTATGTGTATAGTTTTGAATCATGACATCACAGATTAGGCTTTATGTAATCTTTTTACAGTTTGTTGTTTTTGGAGACAGGGTGTGTTGCTCTGTCACCCAGGCTGGAGTGCAACTGGGCAGTCTTAGCTCACTGCAGCCTGGAACTCCTGGGCTCAAGTGATCCTCCTACCTCAGCATCCCAAGTCGCTGGGATTACAGAAGTGAGCCACAGGGCCTGGTATAAAAATAAAAGCAAGTTTTTACATCATTTATCCCATTTTCTCTTGTTTCTTCACTGTGTGCTGAAAACAAAGAGTATGAAGAAGAGGAAGACCTGCAAATTTCCTATGTGTCTGATGGAGTCTTTTTAGCCTGAAAAAAATAAGATATACAGACTCCAGGAGAATACCAGTGAAAGACAGAATACATGGAAATAGCCTCTATTCTCTTCTGAAAGCTTACTAAAATATTTTAATAGTAAAGGATACCAATATTTAAAAGAACCCATAAGAACAGAGTATGAGTCACATTTTGGAAAGTAGAAAGCCTTTAGATGAAAGATAATGAAGATGAATCCCAAAGCTAGCAATGGAAAGCAGAATTAACATCACAGATCTCTCAAAAACCTCAAGTTGAACTGGTGACACCAGGTAACTGAAGATGGAGGTAAAAATGGGGCTAAAAGGGGTAGGTTTAAAGGCTACATAAAAAGCAAATAGATCCCTGTACCCTTCCCTTTCTGTGTAACCAAGGAATTGTCCCTCCCCAAAGCTCGTATAAGATTTAAGCGGGTAAATGCATAATATGTGAACTGAAGACCATTAGGCACAGTTAAAAGCTTGGGCACCTTACTGAAAACAGAGGGTTTAAGTTTAAGTTTTATCCACTGAAGGTTGAGCCTGTTAAAACTTCTTTCCCCACTCTACTCCCAGAAAGCTGACTGCCTGGCTTACATCCTTGAGTAAGAGAATGTGCAAGCCTTCTCAAGGGAATCTTACCTATGTAAAAGATAAACATCTAAAATATCAGTATCATGGATTTCCCAATGTAACAGCCCAGCCAGATCACAGTAGACTGAAACCCACATTATTAATCCCCATCAACCCCTACAAACAGACTTTTCAATCAGCTTTTTTGGGTCCCACTTTTTTTTTTTTTTTTTTTTTTAGACAGTCTTGCTGTCTCCCAGGTTGGAGTGCAGTGGCATGATGTCTGCTCACTGCAACCTCCGCCTCCTGGGTTCAAGCAATTCTCATGCCCAGTAGCTGGGATTACAGGTGTGTACCCCATACCCAGTTAATTTTTGTATTTTTAGTATACACAGGGTTTTGCCACGTTGCCAGGCTAGTCCCGAACTCCTGGCCTTAAGTGATCTGCCTGCCTCGGCCTCCCAAAGTGCTGGGATTACAGGCGTGATCCACTGTACCCAGCCTAGGGTCCCACTCTTAAAGAGGAGCAGACTAGCAAGAATGTGAGAAAGTCTTTAATATGAAAGACATCAAAACAAAGGAATAGTCAAACAATGACAAAAAACCCAACCCCTCTGGGCATTAAAAATATAGAAGAAAAAAAGGAAGCTATTTTAAATAGATAGATTAGAAAATAAAGTTGAGGAAATCTCTGAGAAGAAGAGTAAATAGAAGAGTAAAATATAAGACTATTAGGAGATAAATTCAGGAAGTCCACCATCCAAATAACTATTTTCCAGAAAGAAAAAGAGGGTTGGGATTTCCATCCTCTTTCCTCTCTTAATATCTTGCATATATAACGCAAGAATATTTTCCAGAACTGAGGAACTTGACTTTCCATACATAAAATTCCAAACTGCTCAGCACAATAGGTGACCCACTCAAGACACAACATTGGGAAAATTTCAAAATATTATAAAGAGAAGATCCTAAGAGGTCTGGGTTGAAGGTGGGAAGGAATGGATGCATTTAAAAAAAAAAAAATGGAACAGCATTACGTTTCTCAACATATGAAAGATAGGTCAATGCCTTCCTAGTCCTAAGGAAAAATCATTCCCAGTCTGGAATTCTGTACCCAGCCAACCTATCGATGGAGTATGACAAGAGACACGAAAAGTTCTCAAGAAATTTATCTCTCACACACATTTTCTCAGGAAGGCACTTAAAGGTGATAAATCAAGAAAGAAGTCAGGAGATTAACACACAATGTGACAATGAAAAGACAGATCAACCCAAGAGGTGTGCAGCAAACCTTGAGAGTAAACCAATCCAAACGGAACATAAAGAAGAATTTCAGCCGGGTGCGGTGGCTCACGCAGCACTTTGGGAGGCTGAGGCGGGCGGATCATGGGGTCAGGAGTCCAAGACCAGCCTGACCAACATCATGAAACCCCGTCTCTACTAAAAATACAAAAATTAGCCGGGCGTGGTGACGCATGCCTGTAATCCCAGCTGCTCGGGAGGCTGAGGCAGGAGAATCGCTTGAACCAGGGAGGCGGAGGCTGCAGTGAGCCAAGATCACGCCACTGCATCCAGTCTGGGTGATAGGAAGCGAGACTCTATCTCAAAAAAAAAAAAAAAAGAACTGTAATAGATAGCACAAATATGTCTGTTCATAGAAGTGAAAAATAGGATGGTGAAAAAGCTAATTCTACAGTTTCCTTACCACAGATTCTACACATGATGCCTAAAATTGAAATACCAAACAGAAAAATAAAGCAATTATTTATGGTATTGAAAGTAAGTAATGTGAGAATCAGAGTTGAAAGTGGTTGCCACTAGGGAGTAGAAAACAGCATTACTGCCTTTTAGAATTGAGTTTTTGTTTTGTTTTTTTACGACAGGGTCTCACTCTCTCTCCCAGGCTGCAGTGCATGTGATCTTGGCTCACTGCAACCTTCCACCTCCCAGGCTCAAGGAATCTTCCCACCTCGGCCTTCCATGCAGCAGGGACTACAGGCACGTGCCACCATACCCAGCTAGTTTTTGTATTTTTTGTAGAGATGGGATTGTGCCATGTTGCCCAAGCTGGTCTTGAATTCCTAGGCTCAAGTGATCTGCATACTTCAGCCTCCCAAAGTATTGGGATTACAGGCATGAGCCATTGCACCTGGCCTAGATTTGAGTTTTTTATACTAAGTGCACAATAACAGTGAAAATGAAAAGTACACTTTTAAAAAAGATAGCTTCACGTAGCCTAGAAAGTAAAATTAAGATCCTCAGAGCAACAACTATAGAGACAAGTTAAAAGGTTATCCTATTTATAGTATAAAGGAAGATCATTAATAATTTCTAACTGGTATTAATCATATTGATAAATAATTCAGAATAACCTCTTCCACTAAAGATGAATTCTTTATATAAATCAAGTAATGTATTTACATATAGTAAATCAAATCTTAAGTCTAAAACCTCACCCACAGTTGAAGAACATGGTATATGAATTAGTTTGGAAGGCTAAGTGCCCTGGCTATACAAATATACAACAGTGTATCCTTTAGGAGCACCACTATGACTAATCTAAAAGTTATACAATTTCTCCTGTTTCCTTAAATGGGTAACACTAAACAGTTAGCTTTTATTTTATTAATGACTTAGGGTTTAAATACATCAGTGATATATGTCATAGGCTCTTTGTCCTGACATTAAATGTCCTGAAGGACCACTGTGCTTTCCAGTTAAGTTTTTTTGTTTTTTAGACAGGATTTCACTAGTGCCCAGACTGGAGTACAGTGGCACAATCACAGTTTACTGTAGCCTCAACCTCCCAGGCCCAAGTGATCCTCCAGTCTCATCTTCCCAAGTAGCTGGGACTACAGGTGTATACCACCATACCCGACTAATTTTTATTTTTCATAGAAACAATCTCCTTGTGTTGCCCAGACTTAAAACTTTTTAAGAAGTTTCTCCTCTCTTTTCTTGCAGGCAGGCTGGCACTGCTCTCTAGGGACCTGTTACTAGCAGTGCTTCCCTTTTTAATTTGTATCTTATTTGGAAAGAGCTTCAAAATTAGGTAATTAAACTTGTTAGCAATATACAATAGCAACAAATAGGCTAAGACTAAGGGAAAAAGAAGCTCACCTTTGAATAACCACAAGAGTTTTGAGTAAAGGGTCATTCCTGTGTCATGAATAAGTGAGAGTGCTGAAAAGTTCAATTTCAAATTGATACGTATGATTATATTTAAGCTGATTCAAAAACACCTACTGACCATCAAGCTCTATATGTAATGCTGGAAGAGTTTTTCCTCTCCATTGATAAACCAATAATTTCACTGTTTGTCTTGAGTCTTCAAAACTGCTGATTTATAAAGTCAGAGAGCATCTAAGGATAAGAGACATGGAGAACAGAGACATGGTAGCAACACACCTGCCTTTCTAGCCCAGAAAGGCACTCTTCT